GTTACCATAAAAAAGGTATTGTGAGTCACATAGCAGCACTTGACCTGGTCTTAAGGCAAAGAGGGATTCAAAGATATTTGCCAGAGATCAGTATCAAAGCAGACACCTGAGTAGCCAGGCAAAGGCGAAGGAAGAAGGCCCAGAAGGGGCAGGAGAGAACCATGTGGAACAGTAGAGAGATGAGAGGGGAGAGAGAGAAACCAGCGAGATGACAGTTTGTATGTCATGCTAAGGAGCCCCTGAGGACAACGGAGGTTTCGAAGAACAGGTGCCTATGAAACATCCAACTGAAGATTTCTGACAGGTAGTTGATGGTAAGAACATAAAAAAGCCATACGGACTAGAGATGCAGATTCGAGAGTCCCAACAGAGAGAGTAACTAACACCACCAGAACACAGAAATTCTAGCGGAAAGTGTGGACAATCCCCACAGAGGGGACAGAAAGGGCCAGAGATACCCCAACACATCAACCTCTAAGTAGGGGGCAGAGGAATAAAAACCATTCCCTTTAAACATTAAATGCTAAAACTAGGTATCAGTGTATTTTTAAATTTACTTATACATTTCCTAAAAATTTATTTATTTACATATAGGAGAAATACTATGAAAATGTTAACAGTAGTTCTTCTAAGTAGTTAAAGACTACAGGTGATTTTACTTCAAAATCAATGTAATGAATGCATAATTAGAAGTAATTTACCTTTCAAAATTAAATGGTTTTTTCCTCCCATCACATAATCAGTGTTAAATGAGTGGGTCTTAATCAAACACGACAAATCATGGAAAAGTAGTTACTAAAGATAGGAGGGCTTTTTAACTTCTCTTAATACAACTAATTTAATTCTACAGATATAAATTCAAAAGTCAATTTCAAAGAAATCAAATTATTTCGGGGGTGGGGGGAGGCTGCGCTTTAACAATAGTCAAGCACACACTCCGGTAATTACAATGGCGTCTGGAACACAAGACATACACTTACCCCTTTCCCTCCCTTCCACTACCAGTCCAGAAGTGCTGTCTCCCGCTGGGTGATGGCTCAGTAGGCCTCTGCTGCTGCCGCCGCCACACCCACCACTGACCTTCCTTTGCAGCCTGCACACAGGGTAAGGCAAGTCCTGTTACTTTGCCAACGATGCATATTTCTGCAAAGTTTCTTTAACATGTCACACTCCACAGGACAAAGAACAACACCTTACAAAACTATGTGATACCGGGAAAATAAGCACACTTGCCTTCTCCCCTACAGTCAGACACCCAAGATGGGATGGAGTCTGATCTCCAAAGCAGAGCCTTTACTGAGGCATGACCCAGAACGGGAGCAGGTGACTGAGAAAATGGCACTTCAAGGACCTATAATAAAAGAAAAGGCACATGAACAAAATATAGGTATCAATCGTTTTGGTCCAGAATCCTGACTATGTTTGGAAATCTCTAACTCGAGTTTTAAGATAATACTAATATAAAGCACCTACTGACAGATAACCTTAAGACAATGAACTCCAAAGAAGCCCATAAGCAGATGCCATTAAATGACATCACGTCATGGCATAGTTTAAAAAAAAAAAAGGCTCTGCCTTGGAGAGTCTGAAGGCCAAGGAGTCTATCGCTAACCGAGTGACTGAATTCTGACAAATCAGATTTGTGGGTTCAATTTTCTCAACTACGAAATGGCATAGGGCTAGATTTAGCAGCTTTCAAGCTTTTTCTGACTGTGAACCACAGTAAGAAATACATTTTACCTCAGGGTATCTGTATATACAAAACACAGAAAAGTTTCAAGAAACAACGTTTTTCCTTAGAATAAATTTATTAGGAAGAATAAACTCTGATATTTCTGCTATTCTATTTCATTATTTAAAAAATGTTAATTGAAACATACAGTCTACTACTTACAGTTTAGATAACGTTAGATGATCTCTAAGCTTCCCTCTTTCACTCTCATTGTATTGAATGCATTTAGGTTTAATATTTGCAACATCAGCCGCAAGGTGCTACAGTTTCTTTGTCCTGTGTTTCCACTTATTCCTAATGTGTCGTACTGTTCTGCTTGAGAAACCAGCTCTAGGAACACTGTGATCACCTGCATGGTATGCTTTAGAAGGCTGTTGTGAAAATCCAATGAGGTGATTATACGCGTGTAAGCATTCTGCAACTGCTGTAACCAAGTGTAAGATATCAGCCAAATATACAAGAAGCTCCTCCAAACCTTTATATAGTTGTTTCAAACAAGGCAAAGTGATGTAACATGCAGTATTTCCACTTTACCCCAAATATGAATGGCAAAATTGCTTTTTAAATGTGTGCTTTTAATGTATCTAAGGCACTTGGAGAGAAACCTCAGATTAAATGGGACAAATGTACTAAAGACCTGAAGGTAAAAAGTAAAATCAGGAAACATCTTAAATGAATGTCTTCTAAAACCCCCGAGCTAGGGAAGGACCTTCTCTCCACAGCAGCAGACATAGCAACTTTTCCAAGGCCAAAAAAAGATGTAATCCCCTCACCACCACCACCTCCTCCATTAAATTCAAAAGCAACCAGAAAAAAACTTCCCACAAATGAGTTTTCTTTAAAAAAAAAAAAAAGTAACATTTTCAAAACATAAAAGGTACATATACCATACATGACCTAGAAATTCCACCTGTAGAAACCTATCTCAAGGAAATAAATTTGCAAAAATGTACATGTAAGGGGGAATGGAATGGGAAGAGGACGGACCAGTACATATAATAATACACTGGTTAAAAAAATGAGGAGTTACTCATATTTCCCTATCTCCCACGCATACATGCGTACACATGTTAATAAATTTGTCCAAAAAAACTCACAGTACACCTAACTAGGCAATGGAACACTAGTCAGCTGTTAAAAGTGGCGATACAGATGTTTGTTTATTAACACGGGAAGATGCCCACAACATCCTCAAAATATTATAAAACAACACTAACTGTATGGTCTCTTTTTGTTAAAAAAAAAAAAAATTAATGTTATATACATTTCTTAAGTCTGCCCAGAGACATACAGAAATATTAACAGTAGGTATCTCCGAGGTGATGCAATCAGGCAGCTAGCCCACATAGTGCCTCTGAGAATCAGAACCAGACAAGCCTCCTCCAGGCAGGCCCCCATGCTCCAGGGTACACAGCCTGGTGGGCTGAGTAGGATTTCCGCCTCCACCCATCACTCCCCCACATATCCTTGGAGGGATGCTCTTACGTTGGAAGAGGATTATGCGTAATTTTCACCTATTTATGCCATTCTGCACTGGCTTACCACTGTTACAAGAGGCATAGAAATTTACCATCCGTTGATAAGACTAACACTTATTTTCCATTTTGAAAAAAGGTCTTGCCTTAATCCTTCTAAGACTACTCCCAACTTTACTTGTGCTACTACTGCCCTTATACAATGCCTTAAACTTTGATAATTTGTGCACGTGTTCTCTATTTAAACGCATATACCAAACAAAATCTCTACCCCAACATCATATTACACAACGTTAGATAGAAAGCACTGCCTGCAGTAAGAAAAGTCCTTCCTACACAAAGTGAAGATCTTATCGGGAAATGAGAAGGCACTGAGGAAAGTAACCTACAGAAGTTAGTTCCTCTCCAGCACTCAAAAAATCCTCCAGCAAAAAGTTAGTACACTCCAGAAACAATAACAATTGTTCACCATTTTCCCCCAGTTAACTCCGGATGCAAGATTTATTTCCTCACCACACTAGTGGTTCCCATAAGACAGCCATTTCAATAAAAATCGTGAGTGATTACTATGCAGTTAGGCAAAGCATCTGTAAAATAATACAGCCGCTGGACTAGGATTAAAGGACAACTGGGTTCTTTTCCTGGCTCTGTGGAATATGTAATTTTACACAAAGCAAAAATCACCACCTCTCTGAGTCTCATTTTTCTCATCTTTGAAGAGGGGGTTGGACTCACAAAACCCCCAAGGCCCCTTCCAGCTCGTGACGGGACTCAAGCCGCCTTGCCCTGCCGGAGGAGCCGATCTCAGTCAGCAGCAACAGTTTATTTTCTGAGTCACAGCCAATTTACTCTCTCCATGCTTCTCTCAAAAATGTGCCCAAATAGTTCCCGACTCTAGACGTTTATTCTCACTCAGAAGAAAACATGTATCAAGACCCACTAACAAAATATGTTTCAAAAGGCCAAGGGAAAACAAAATTAGTTTACTCAAGTATAAAGGCAAAAAAACCCCCAAAACAGCAGTAGTCCCTATTCAGAGATTAAAATAATTTTTCGGAAAAAGGAGGCATTCTAAAGCAGCAGCTCTATACGGGTGGATGGTTTGAATATTTCTTTTAAAACAAAGAACTCATGCAGAGAAAAACTGCTAACATCCACAACCATCACACGTTTTGAAAGCACAGGAAAAAAAACTGTGTCATTCAAAGGGGATTTACTTTCCCGAAAAGCGGCATATTTGCAAGGAAGAAAACGTCTGTAATTAAAAAGGAATTAGGGAGGAACGAACCTTTTCAGCGGTCTTGCCAGGGTCCCAATTCCAGCGCCCGGCAGTGGCCCGGCCCGCGAGCCCCTCCCGCCGCACATCGGGCGGCCCCCACGCGGAACCCTCCCTCGCCCTTCCGACCGGCCGCGGCCGCAGCGTGGTCGGGTCACAAGATAGCGGCGGGAGTGGAAATTTCCTCTCCGCGCGCCGAGCAGCGGCCGGCTCTCGGGGCCGCCGGCGCCGCCGCCAGGGCCTCTCGCGCTCCGACAAAGGAGGCCGGGCGCGCGGCCCCGCACGCTCGCTCGGGCTCGGCTCCGGGCAGGGGTCCCCGGCTTCCGGCGCCGCTCGGGGCGGGAGGCCCGGGCAGCACGTGAGCCCGCTCCGGGCCCGGAGGAAGGAACCCGCCCGCCCCGCGAAAAATGAATGGGGCCGCGCGGCTCCGCCGCCGCCGCCGCCGCCGCCCGGGGAGTGCGGAGGCCGGGGGCGCACCTCGCGGCCGCGTCCCCTCCCCGGCCCGCCGCCCGCTCACCCCAGCTCTTCGTGGTGCGCCCCAGAAACTCCCGGGTGGTCGGGTTGTAGAGGAAGAGCTTCCACTCGGCCATGCACTGGTTGAAGGACTTCTTCTCTTTCTTCGTCATGGTGTCCGCGCCGATAGCGAGCGGAGCGGCGGCCGCGGGGTGGAGGCGGCGAGGGGCGCGGAGACGCGTCCCGGCTCTGGCGGCGCAGCCCGGCGGCGGAAGGCGGCACGGCCGAGGACACCTCCGCGCTGCCCTGCGCGCTGGAGCCGACTGCGCCGCGCCGCGCCGGGCGACCGCTCGGGCCGCGGGAGCCTGACGTCTCCGCCCACCGCAGCCAATCCCCGCGCCGCTCGGCCCGCGCCGCCGCCGCCGCCGCCGCCGCCGCCGCGACCGCCTCCCCCTCGCGGCCCGGCGCAGCCCGGTCAGCGAGGACGCCCCGCCCCCGGCCCCGCCCCGCCCCGCTCGGCGCTGCCTGGGCCCCGGCCGCGCGAAGCAAAAGCCACACCTAGCAGCTTAAAAATTCTCGAGGGCTCACGGAGGAGCACGTTTATGATAAGAAGCGAAAGGTGGGCGGCCCCGCCCGGCAGGTTCCCGGGAGGAGGACTCTCGGGAGATGCTGCGGGCGGCCGGGCCGGCGCCCCACTGCGGCTCCTTGCGGGCGGCGGCGCGGGACGAGGAGAGCACGGAAACGACTCGGCTCTGCCCAAGGCGTCTGCGCCCGGGAGGAGCCCTATCCTCCCTGTCCCCATCCTCCCTCCCAGACCATCTCCAGGCGTGGTCCTTTGGGCTCTATGACGTAACGAGAAGATCGTCTGCTGTATATATCAGCTTCTTACGTACTGCTGCTCAGAGGCTGTCCTCGCTTGCCTCTTGACGGATTCAACCAGGAGTTTGGGGTCAATGGGCATTTCATTTTAAATATGCCAGTAATTAAATGGAGTGTAGTTTTCCTCCAGGTTTAGTAGAAACTGTCAATGAAATCAATATACATGCTTTCCTGAGGTTCCTGTCAATGAAAAGATCCTCTTCTTTTTCTTACTCAAACTCTGATCTACAGGAAATCGGTTCTTCGTTTAGTGTTGCTGCCTAAATAATGTCCCCGGCTTTCTCTCTATTCCGCTGCAGTGGATGCTGCCCTTGATCGAGCTGAGGGCGCAGTCAACGTTTTCCTACACGAGATGGAGCTGAAGTGCCCTGCGGCTGTGCGACAGCAGGAAAAGACGTCAATAGGAGTTTGGGCAGAAGGTGCATTTTTTTAGAAAAAAGAAATGGAGCACTGCCTCTGTTTTATTAGCCAATAAAAAATATGAATAAAGAAATGTAGCATACATCTTATTGTTTGGAATGATGACTTTTAATCCATCAGGAAGTTTAAATACAGCCTGCAAATGCTTTAAAGGAGTTAAATGGATAACGAAATTCTGGCATGTCTCTTGTTTCCTCTCTGCTTATCAAAACAAGGAATTGTGAATTACGTCTCCCGCAAGTGGAAAAGAGGAGAATATGTTATTACAAAGTGATTTTTCCCCCTGTGCTTAGGAAAGCTAAATTTATAATTATGACCTTGGGAATGATAACCAAAATCCAGTTACTTTTTTGAGCCAATGACATCAAAAGATTTGTAGAAGCATTTTGTAAAATTTGGCATGAAATTAGTATTAGAAATAGCAAAACATTGTGCATGCAGACTAGAATACACTTCTTTTGTTCATAAGCAAGGTTGAAACAGAACTTAGGAATGGAAGGAGTTAACTATCTTTATCTCATTAAGAATCTGACTACAAATCAGAGGAGAGCTAAAATATTGGTGGAGTCAATAATGGGCTTTTTAGTTTAGATAAGAGGAAAGATAGAGAGTCTCTTTGAAATAAAATATAAACCCATCTGCTTTATTGTGTGTGTGTGTGTGCTAGTAACAAGCACACTTTGAGAAATAATTACTTGGGACACACAAAGAAAATATGGTTAACAAGAACATTATGAAATAATGTTCCAAAGATATTGAATGCTGTCAGAGATTTGTAGTGTGTGTATTTTTAGTGGTCATTAATGTGACTTTCATAGATAGTGCTTTGTGGTTTTCCAAATAAGGATTTAAATACAAATATAATTCAGTAAGTAGTTTCATAAACCCATGCCTAGTTCAGAATAGTGACTAGATCCAACAGATTTCAGTTTGGATAAAGTTTTACATTCTACTCCAAAACATGGAACCTATTTGTTTCTCTGATAGGTGATACTTGAACAGTACCTGGAAGAGAAAACACTGAGCGTATTGGGGAATGTTGGCCTATCAAGTATGAGTAGATGAAATATCACATCTAATCACAGCTTTATTCTCTGCAGGTTTATTTCACTATACGTAAGGCTCCCTTTTAAAAGAGAAGTTATTTTGCCAGATAAAATACAGGATGCCCACTTCAATTTGAATTTCAGATAGGCGATGGATAATTTTTTAATATAAGTATATTCCAGTAATATTTGGGACATACTTAGACTAAAAATATTATTCTTGCCTATCTGAAATTCAAACTTAACTGGATATCCTGTATTTTTGTTTGCTAAATCTAGCTACACTGCATGTAGAGAATACCCATGAATTCCATAGTAGTAATGACAACGATCATTTATACATTCTCAAGTCCTAGGCCCTCTGCTGCTAGTTTAGTGTAATTTATTTCTTCATCTTCACAAACACCCTAAGAAGGAGGTATTGTTTCCCTAATTTTGTAAATGAGGAAACTGAGGTTTAGAGAAATTAAGTAACTCACCCATGGTCAAAAAACTATCCAACAGCACACGGATTCAAATGCCGGTCTCCTGCGCCACCCAGTACTGCCTGTGCAGCGAAGGATGGCAGCACTCTGGGGAGATTTCCCAAAGCTGAAAGAGGCAGAATGAGAGAAACAGTGGTGGACCACTGGTTGAGCATACTCTCCAATCAGTAGAATCCATTTTCTACTTTCTATGGGCATAAACAAGATATTTTAGCTCTTAATTTGCTGAAACTCTTAGTTTATTCCTGAATTTTCAAGTCATGTGTACAGAAAAAGTATTTCAGTTCCTATAGCAGCATCTCATTTATAACTTGTTGTGATAACTGATGTGACTATGGTACTGGGTCATGGAAAGGCCATTATTTGTCCCTCAGAGAATAGATATTAAGATTCCTTGGAAATAGTCCTTCCCCGCAGGCAGCAGCTGCAATTGTGTCGGGATTTTATTGTATCTGAGAAACACAGTCATGAATGCATACTCATCTTCACTGAAAATGTCCTTTTCCACACACTGGTTTTAATACTGAATGCTTTTCCTAATCCTTTAACAAACAGCATCTCTACATTCTTTGCAGGTTAAAGAGCAGATGCTTATATTAGTGACCATCTTAAATTAAATGAACCAGTGTTTTTTCTGTTGTTAAAATTTTTAATACCATCATCCACTGTGTTAGGTGCCTTATGAAAAAGTATATGAATAGGATCTAACAGGATAACTTACTAAATGAAAAATAAATTCAAATGAACCCAGTGTGAAAGATTATTGAATTAATAATTCAGTTATAAAAATTTACAGGAGCGGGTGGAGGCATAGGTGAAACAAGAATGGCAGAATGTTGATATTCATTGAAGCTTGGCGATGGGTGCATGGGGTCCATTATACTTTGTTTACTTTGTATATCTTTGAAATTTTTTATAGTAGAACATTTTTAAAAATTGGGGGCAAAGGATAGGCAATTTTCCTGACGCACATTTTTCAAGTTCACTTAGTTGAAAAATAACCGAAAGAAGATATAGAGCCAGCTGTGATGGTCTAGTGGTTAAAGTTTGGCGCTCTCCCTGCTTTGGCGGCCTGGGTTCACTTCCTAGTCACAGAATCACACCACCCATCTGTCAGTAGCCATGCTGTGGCGGTGGCTCACACAGAAGAACTAGAAGGACTTACAACTTGGATATACAACCATGCACTGGGGCTTTGGGGAGGAAAAAAAGGGGAAGATTGGTAACAGATGTTAGCTCAGGGTGAATCTTTCCCTGCAAAAAAAAAAAAAAGAAAAAGTTTAAAAAAGAAAAAAAAGAAGATATAGACTTAGGATTTTCAAAAAAACTATTAAAAAAGAAAAAAGCTGACCTCATAGGAAATGAATAATCCTAGGAACCTAAGAGAATTTTTCTAATTCTAATTAGCGATCAGGAAAATTTGAGAAGCTATTTTAGCCATAAAACAAGAACAAGTTGAGATTTTATATATGTATATATATATATATGTATATATACATATACACACACATATATATGATTTTGTATATATGTAATCAGAGACAAAAACGAATTATGGGAAATTAAAAATATAATTCCAAAAATAAAAAAATCAACATAAGGGCTGAAAGAAAAGGCCAGTGGAATCTCCCAAAGTGTAAAGCAAAAAAACAAAGGAAAAAAATATTTTTAGGGCCTGGCCTAGTGGTTACATTGGCATGCTCCACTTTGGCAGCCTGGGTTTGGTTCCCACGTTCGGACCTGCACCACTTGTCTGTCAGTGGCCATGCTATGGTGGTGGCTCACATACAAAAAGAGGAAGATTGGCAGCAGATGTTGGCTCAGGACAAATCTCCCTCAGCAAAAAAAAAAAAAAAAGAAAGAAAGAAAGAAATATTTTTAAAAGTCCAACGACTATATTGGGTCAATCCAGGAGGGACAATATTCAACTAATAGTTGCAGAAGGAAAAAAGAGAAAGCAGGGGAGAAAACAATGAGAGAAATAATAGGAGATTTCCTAGAGTTAAGGAAAGATAGGAGTCTTCAGACTCAAAGAACATACTGAGCGCCAAGCAAAATAAACAAAAATGTCTCACACTTACCCATGACCTTGTGATTTTATAGTACATTAAATACTAAGAGAAGATCCTGAAAGCTTCCAGAGAACAAACAGGTCAGCTACAATGGAATGAAAATCCGATTGGCAGCAGTCTTCTCATCAACAACACTCAGGGCCAGAAGAAAGTGGAGCACTGCCCTCAGAGTTCTGAGGCTCTGAAACCAAACCCAGCCAAGCTCTCACTCAGCTGTGAGGGTACAATGCAGATGTTTAGACATGTAAGAACTCAGAAAGTCTGCCTCTTAAAATCCTTTCTTAATAAATCAATTAAGGACGGACCAGTAAAAAGAAAAAGAATCCAAGAAAGAGAAAAACCTGGGATCTAAGAAACACTAGTCCTAACCCTGGCGGGCAGTGAAGGGAAGGCGTAGAATGACAGCTGGACAGCAGGGCGAGAAAGCAACTGTTTCAAAGGGAAAAGAATGTCTTCAGGCAGAAAGTAGATTCCATGCCTCAGAGACTGGGATTAAGAGCCTGGATAAATTTAGTCATATGGTGAAGCCATATGCTTTTTTTGTTAAGAAGGAAAATAGAAAGCAATTAAAAACAGCCCAAAACTGTGTTCCAAATATGAAGCAAACTAAAATGTGGTATTATTTTGAGCAATTAATGAAGTGTTTGAAAATGTAATTGTTTGATCTTGAAGTTGGGAACATCCGTTCTATTGGCACAAGGCTGGAGATACAGCTTTACCTTTCCTATTCCAACTGATGCATTTTGTTCTACAGGGAGTGCTATTTACATAATCAAAATAACATAATTGCAACTTTCAATACTAGAGTTAACTGAATGACCATTCATAGAACAAAATTGAATGTTATAGGCTGACGATATAAAGTAATGGTGCAGTTGACAGAAGTCAAGAGGTCTATGGAAGAGAGAGAGAGTTGGAGAAAGAAAGTTGAAGGGAAAGGCAGAAGTGTTCCTCTTCTTACATGGTGAGGGGATAGGGAGGTAAGAGAGAGGGCTAAAGAGTTTAAAGATGTTGGAGCTGGAAATGGGGGTTTAAGTATGCTCTTTAAAGTTATAAATATAATTAGTAGAAAAACAAAGTAAATACTAAATAATACTATGTATTATTAATATTAAAATAATACTTTAACAAAATATGAAATAGAAGATGAAGTGAGACATAGGACATAAATAGCTCGTTGATCATCTTCATTGGCAAGGTGTTCTTAGTGTTTAATGCTGACAAATAAAAAAATAGGTATAGGGGCCGGCCCAGTGGCAAGCAATTAAGTTCGTGTGCTCCACTTTGGCAGCCCGGGGTTCGATATTTCAGGTCCCAGGCACGGACCTACATACCGCTTATCAAGCCATGCTGTGGCAGCATTCCACATATAAAGTAGAGGAAGATGGGCACAGATGTTAGCTCAGGGCCAGTCTTCCTCAGCAAAAAGGGGAGGATTGGCAGCAGATGTGAGCTCAGGGCTAATCTTCC